TAGAGACGAGGTTTCACCATGTTGACCAGGATGGTCTCGATCTCTTGACCTCGTGATCCACCCGCCTCGGCCTCCCACAGTGCTGGGATTACAGGCTTGAGCCACCGCGCCCGGCAATTAATGACTAATTTATACTAATAGTGGGAAGCAGGGTCTGGATAATCCCAAATGATTACTAATTTAAAACCACTTTATTTTACTTAGTAATGTGTTTGGAGTACTTACATCTTGTGGCTACTTACAATTTTACTTTAACTGTAATAATAAGACAAGGCCATATATATTGGCCTCCCTGGTTGGGGGTTGTGTGGGTTTCCTTTGCAGGCAGTTGGGGTTTTCCAAAGAACCTACTCTGTAGTGTCAGCAGGAGTACGACATAGAAGGCTTCCAGGTCAGGTGGCCCAGGGTCAAATCAAAGCTCCATCCCTTTTAGCACATTTCTCAACCTTCGTTAGCTGTGCCTGCCTGCCTCTTTCTAAAATGGGGAAAATAATAATACCTACTTCCTTGGTTTACTTAAAGAGAGGATTAAATCAGGACATGTGTTACTGCACGCCATTATTGCTTCTGTTGTTGTTGTTATTATTTTAAAATCTAGGTTGGTGATTGCATCTAGAGAAAGCACCACAAACGGAGTCACTTAAATAGCAGAAAAGTATTATCTTGCAGGTCAAGAGGCTGGAGGTCTGAAATCAAGGTGTCAGCAGGGCCGTGCTCCCATTGAAACCTGTAACAGGGAATCCTTTCTTGCTTCTTCTAAGTTTCCAGCGTTTCCTCGGCTTGTAGATGCCACACTCTAGTCACGTGGTCATCTTTTTTTTCTTTCTTTTTTCTTTTTTTGAAGCAGAGTCACGCTCCGTCGCCCAAGCCGGAGTGCAGTGGTGCTATCTCGGCTCACTGCAACCGGGTTCAAGTGATTCTCGTGCCTCATCCTCCCAGTAGTTGGAATTACAGGCATGCACCACCATGTCTGGCTAATTTTTTTGTATTTTTAGTAGAGATAGGTTTCACCATGTTGGCCAGGCTGGCCTTGAACTCCTGACTTCAAGTGATCAACTGCCTTTGCCTCCCAAAGTGATGGGATTACAGGCGTGAGCCAGCACGCCCGGTGGCACATGGTCATCTTCTTCCTGTGTCTTCACATCACCTTCCTTGTGTGCACACCTGTCTGTGTCTAACTTTCCTCAATATGACACTAATCATATTGGATTAGGGCCCAGCCTAATCACCTGATTTCAATTTGATTACCTCTGGATAGCTTGTCTTCCTTTCTTTCTTTCTTCCTTTCTCTCCTTCCCTCCCTCCCTCCCTCCCTCCCTCCCTCCCTTCCTTCCTTCCTTCCTTCCTTCCTTCCTTCCTTTGTTCAAGGTTAAATGGCACGAAATTGGCTCACTGCAGCCTCTGTCTCCTGGGCTTAAGCAATCCTCCCATCTCAGCCTCTCAAGTAGCTGGGACTAGATGCATATGCCACTGAGATAGGGGCTAACACAGAAGCCTAAGCACTGCCATCTTATAGAGAAACCACTTGGGCCCTGGGCAGAGGTGTAGTTCTCAGAACTGTTAATGTACACCAATTCTCAGAAGTGTTAAGGGTAAAAATTTCCACTGCTACCCCCCTCCCCTTACAACAAACCGCTGACTTTAGCTTCTGTACAGACAGCTTGCCTTGCACACCCCTGTGCCCCCCTGAACAAGGATGTGGTTTTGCAGCTTAAATGCTTTGCTGCCCCTGAGCTCAGGGCCACAGGTTGAAGACACATGAGTCCTCCGTGGCCGCTGGCAATAAAGACCCTGCAATTTGGCATACTTTTGTCTTGGTGTTGATTTTCTGTGCTCACTCCAATGCAACACCACCATGCCTGGCTAATTTTTATTTCTTTTTTTTTTTTCTAGAGATGGGGTTTCACCATGTTGCCCAGGCTGGTCTCAAACTCCTGGCTTCAAGCAGTCCTCCCACCTCAGATTAACCACCACAATGGCCAAGCATGAGCCATTGTGCTTGGCCAAAGCCTGTATTTCTAAATGAGGTCACATTCCGAGGTTCTGGGGTTAGGGTTTGGACACCATTGAACCCATAACAGTAACAGTTCTTTTTCTGAAACTTTCTCCAAAGTAAGAAAAGTGTTTTACATTTTGCTATCTAAAGTCTCTTCCCTGCCAGATGTTATGATCAGAGTTTATTGCTTATCAAGAATGTTTGGATACAAAAACTTAAACTCAAGTTGGTTGTTTGTGAGTAAACTTGAAAACAAATTCTTTGCTTTGTTTAAAGAGGGAAGCATTCTTTCAGGCAGGACTCTGTCAAGAACATGTTACAAACTGTCTCATTTCCAGTGAACTCTTCACTGCCTTCCACCCACACAAGCACAAGACAACGCTCCTGGCCGCTCTTGCTGGCAGCAGAGCCTCTCACTGGGTCTTGATTTCAAAGGGACATCAGAATTTATCCTCATGGTTTCTGGCCTTCACCAGACAGCAAAGTTCCTGTTTTACTCGTTGAAGTCAAGCAGACCTGGGTTCAGATTCAAGCTCTGTCACCAACAGCCAGTTAGTATGCTAATGTCTCAGCCTCAGTTGTCTCAACTGTAACATGAGGGTGATAGATAACACCTCGTGGGCTGGTGGTGAGGCCTGGAGTGCCTAATGCCTGGTAGTCAGTCTGCAAATCGTGGTGCTATTATCATGGGAGAATAACGTTTGGGGAAATTTGTGGGACCTTTTCTATCACTTGTTTGAGGCCTTCTGTACATATCCTTCCAAGGTCAGAACAGTGGGCCTGTACCTCATATCAGCAGAGAAAAAGGTATAATTTGAATGTGGCCTTTGGGTCTTAAACACATAGAAGTGTCAAAGGAGGAGGTATTGACTTTGCTGTCAAAGGAGGAGGTATTGTCTCTGGCTATCTATCCGCCTTTCTGATCTGAAATAGCAACACATTACTGTGCACAAATGAGATCAATGCAGAAGAGAAGCAACTTTCCTTTGGGAGAGAACGTTAAGTTTAGGGCTTGCAGTGCAAAGGCAGGAGTGGGTCTGGAGACGACCCTGGTGTCAGGCCAGAGGTGGTGGGGCCAGGGGGACACTGAGGTGTTAGGCAGGCTTGAGGTGGAGGAGACAGCCTCCGTGAAGGAAGCAGAGCAAGCATGAGCAGAGGATGGCGGAGATGCTAAAGGCAGGGCTGTCTCCTGCCTCTTAAAATTCCGCCCAGGCCTGCCCTGCTGGGTAGACTTCATTTTAAACTTTATTTAAACATTTTTTTTTGAGATGGAGTCTTGCTCTGTCGCCCAGGCTAGAGTGCAGTGGCGTGATCTTGGCTCACTGCAACCTCCACCTTCCAGGTTCAAGTGATTCTCCCTCCTCCTGAATACCTGGGATTACAGGTGCCAGCTACCACGCCTGGCTAATTTTTGTATTTTTAGTAGAGATGGGGCTGGCCAGGCTGGTCTCGAACTCCCGACCTTATGATTTGCCTTCCTCAGCCTCCCAAAGTGCTGGGATTACAGACGTGAGCCACTGCGCCCAGCCCTTCATTTTAAACTTTGAATCCCTTCCCTAATTATGATTCCTCTACTCTGGCAGGAAGCTCCTCTCCAAATGCCTGCTTCTTCAACACAAAGATGCTTAAAACCCAGGCCCCCCCCCCCACCATAAACTGATTGGAACACGTAAGCAATAGATCAAGAGCAACTATAAAAGTCTTGAATGTGTTCCTTGAGGGACATATTAAGAAACCTTTGAGGGCACATTCCCTCTTGCCTGGAGCTTTGGAAGGGGCAGTCTGTAATCCTGGAAAGGACTCAGGCAGGTCTGTGGGATCTAAACTGCATCAGCCCTACTTTCAAAAGTGTTATCTTTTGCTCTTTGTGATTGTAGCTGAATTAGTTGAGTTGTAGTGCAGTGAGGGTAAGTGCAGAATTGCATGTGAGTATGTTCCTCATCCCTCAAAGACAACATCCAGATGTCCTTTATATCCCAAATCCATTATTAGCTTCTGAAGCTTTCCAAGTTTTTGATACAATGATTGTCACCCAATAACTTAATGCATTAACAATGAGTTTTCTAGACAAAGTATAAATCCAGGTCATTTCTTTTCTCTAAGCCTTGGTTTATCATGTGAAAGAAGGTTGTAGGAGCAACAGCTAAGGCTTCTGATTGTCATCAAACCCTACATCTTGAGAAGCAATGGCCCCAGGTGTCTGTGGTTGGGGATTAACACAGAGCAGTGTGCAGCCAGCTGTAAAAAGCAAGTGAAAGTGGCTAAAATGTGCATCAAGTGCTCCCTCAGAGGGGAAGAATCCATCCAGACACTCTTTTCACTCAGCAAACACGTATTGAGCACCCAGAATGCATGAACAAACAGTGAAGAAAAGACTCAGTTCTGAAAGTGCTCCCAAGGCAAGGCAGGTGGAGGCAGACCACAAGACCTCTTGGAAGGATGAGTGCTGGGAGATTTTTCCAGGTGAGAGGATTGCAATCTATGCCCTTTGATTTAAAAAATCCTGCCTAGTTTCTCCATAGGTAGCCTCCATTTGTTAGGCTATGTGCCCCTATTTTGGGCTCAAAAATTTTGATCAGGGTGAACATGGGGTTAGATGATCATGAAAATGCACCCTATACCTCCCTCATACCCCTGACATCAGAGGGACACGCCAGGGCCCACTATGTCTTGATGGTGACTTTGGTGCTGGGTTAACAGTGCATGTCATGCTTGCGTGTGTATGAGTGAGGGAGTCTTTAAAATACCAGCCCCTTCCAGTCTTTTCCTGAGTTTGGGAGCAGGTGGGTAGAAACTACACCAAGGTACTTTAGGGCCAGTGCTGCCCATGGCTCTTTTTAAAACCTGTTTTTCTAGATCATGTAATGAATCTAAATACCAGTCCGTGGTAAAGGAAAAAGGGGTTATTATCTCTCATATTTCACATACAGGAATATTAAACAATTAAAAGCTTAACTAATGTTCCCAAGGTCATATGGTGAATTAGAAACAGAGACAGAGAAAGGATTCTGGTTTCTGTTCCTTCTAGTTTTGTTGCCTCAGCTACGGATCTTGCTGCCTCTTTAAATCCCACATTTAGCTAGAATTGGGAGCCATAGGTGTGAATTGGCTCCATCACTTGAAAAAAAAAAAAAAGGTGGGGAATACTTGCTTTCCTGTAAGGCAAAACTATAACTCTACTGAGCAAGGCCTAAGAGATTGTCAAATTTTCAGCACATGTGAATATCCTTGTTCTTTCAGCGATTGGTATTCTGCAGCAGCTGCCTCACAAAGCCTGGAGAGCTCCAGCAAGGATGGGCCGGAACTCCAGCTGCTGGTGAGCAAGTGTTCACTATTTATAGCGGGTGGGGGGCTGCGAAGGAATGGAATTTTTTCCTTCTGAGTAGGGTGGATGCAACCAACAGGAAGTGGGCTCTGATGGATACTAAAGGAGATCACATGGATATATATAGCCTATGACAGTACCTCTCATACTCCAGCGTGCTTCAGAATCACCTGGGGGTGCTTGCTGAAAGACAGATGGTGGGGCCCCACCCCCAGAGTTCCTGATTCACTGTGTATCTTAGTCGGTTTGGGCTACTAAAACAAAGTACCATAGACCAGGTGACTTAAACAACAAACATTTATTTCGCACAGTTCAGGAGGTTGAGATGTCCAAGATCAAGATGCTGGCAGATTTGCTGTTTGATGAGGGCCTGTTTTTGGTTTATAGACAATGCCTTCCTCACTATGTTCTCGCATTTTGATATTTTACATTTTCCTCAAAAATTGTCCATTTGACTCTGATTTTTAAACTATAGTTGTGCAAATAATTCTTTTATAAGAATTATAGTTTCCTGTATATAGGTTAATCTATTTGTATTTCCCCCTATTTTTAAAAATTAGACTGTAACCAGCCAACAGTTTCACTTTGCCCACTACCTAGACAGAGTTGATTTATCAAGACAGGGGAATTGCAATAGAGAAAGAGTAATTAACACAGAACCGGCTGTGTGGGAGAGCGGAGTTGTTTTATTTTACTTTATTTTTTATTTTTTGAGATGGAGTTTTGCTTGATCGCCAGGCTGGAGTGCAGTGGCCTGATCTCAGCTCACTGCAACCTCTGCCTCTTGGTTCAAACAATTACCCTGTCTCAGCCTCCTGAGTAGCTGGGACTACAGGTGCCCACCACCACACCTGGCTAATTTTTTGTATTTTAGTAGAGATCGGATTTCACCATGTTGGCCAGGATGGTCTCGATCTCCTGACCTGGTGATCTGCCTGCCTTGGCCTCCCAAAGTGCTGGGATTACAGGCATGAGCCACCATGCCTGGCCAGAGTTGTTTTATTATTACTCAAATCAGTCTCCCTGAGCATTCGAAGATCAGAGTTTTTAAGGAAAATTTGGTGGTTGGGGAGTGGGGAGTCAGGTCAGAGATGAAACCACAGGGAGTTGAAGCTATTTTCTTGCACTGTTCAAGACCAGCTAATGGATTATTTATTATTGTTGCTGGTTGTTTTTTTTTCACCTCAGTGAACCAGCTCTTGGATTTCTTTATCCATATGAAGAACTGCAAAGGACCCCAGATTTTTTTTCTCCTACTTGCAAGCTAACAAGTTAGTCTGCCAGTGGTCTCCTAGGTGAGAGGTTTGTGCCAGTTCCCTAACCCCAGTTCCACCTACCACCACGAAAGTCTCATGATGTCTGCACACGTAGTGGGGTACAGGAGAGGAATTTAAGTCCGAAATTTAGGGAACTGGAATCTTTTATACTAGACAGTAAGCTGGGTGCTTGGTTCTGGGTAAAGACACTCTCTTTGTCTTGCAAAGCTGTTTGTTTGCTATACAAACCTCCCTGAAAAAATGGTCCACAAGAAAGGCAGCCAGTGCCTCTGCCTCTGCCCCTGTCCTGAGGTATGCAGGAACCAAGAGATGCTGGAGAACTGTCTCCCAACAATCAATCCCACTGATTTTGTCTCTCTTTCTTCCTTTTTCTTTCCTTCCTTTCTCCTTCCTTCCTTCCTTCCTTCCTTCCTTCCTTCCTTCCTTCCTTCCTTCCTTCCTTCCTTTTCTTTCTGGATCTCATTCTGTTGCTCAGCCTGAGTGTGGTGCAGTCCTAGCTCACTGCAGCCTTGAACTCCTGGGCTTCAGTGATCCTCCTGCCTCAGCCTCCTGAGTAGCTAGGGCTATGGGCACATGCCACCATGCCTGGCTAACTTTTTAAATTTTTCTGTAGAGATAGGGGTCTTACCATGTTGCCTAAGGCTGGTCTTGGACACTGTTTTCAAACCAATTATATTCTTTCACTTTTAGTTTCTTCCTTTTACTTTCCTTATATTTTAAAAAATATTTTTCTGTTTTCTTGAGTTGAATAATTACTTCCTTCACCTTCATTGCACTTAAGCTAAAGTGATTTTAAGGTTGTGACTTTGTCTTTGACCGAATATTTGACTACATCTCATAAGGTTTAATAAGTAGTGTTTTCCTTATCATTATTTGCTAAATTATCTAGCTTTTCCCTGTTATTTATGGAAGTCAAAGGTTTCATTTATTTATTTATTTAGACAGAGTCGCTCTCTGTCACCCAGGCTAGAGTGCAGTGGCATGATCTCAGCTCATTGCAACCTCTGTTTCTGAGTTCAAGTGATTCTTGTGTTTCAGCCTCCTGAGTAGCTGGGATCATGGGTGTGTGCTACTGTGCCCAGCTAATTTTTGTATTTTTAGCAGAGATGGGGTTTCACCATGTTGGCCAGGCTGGTCTTGAACTCCTGACCTCAGATGATCTGCTCGCCTCAGCCTCCCAAAGTGCTGGGATTACAGGCGTGAACCGCTGAGGCTGAGCAGCAGTCAAAGGTTTTAAACAAAATTAATCAATCATCTTGAGATTCCCATGCTCTCTTGGTTTGCTCTGGAAGCTACTTTTGTTTCCTAAGAGGTTTGTAGATTAAAGCTATAAACCCCTTTAACAGGATCTCTGTGACTTTTGTGTTTAATTGTACTTCACTGCAATTTAGGAGGAAATGGAATTTGGAAGATAAAAGTTCAAGTCCTGACTCTGCCACTTTGCACTGGTAACCAAATACATAACCCACTTTGAGTCTCACTTTTGTTTACAAATGTAGGCTTGAACTTCATTATCTCTGAAGTCCTTTTCAATTTATGACTCTAGGGGATTTTGAACTAATTTCAATTAAACTGGTTTAATGATTTCTAGGCTGACTTGTTAGTTGAGGCAGCATGGCCATAGAAAACCGGTGAAGCTGAGTTCAACCCATGCTGTGGGTGAGCAAATGCTTCCATTTCCTCACGTTTTCTTTTGTGACTCTCACAGAGGAAAGAAAAATCCACATGGCATTAGGGGCTCATTTCCTCCCCTTTGGTGGCATCTTGCCTGGGTTAGCTAAAGGGACAAAGAAGCTGATGGCAGAGACTGAGCTCTGCAGCCTATCCTTTCTACCAAGGCTGTTTCCTGGCTTGAGAAGCTCTAGCACTACAGTGTTAGCTAGATGGTCATCTGAGTATTAGTTCTCACGCTGCTAATAAAGACATACCCTAGACCAGGTAATTTATAAAGGAAAGAGGTGTAATTGACTCACAGTTCCACATGGCTGGGGAGACCTCACAATCATGGCAGAGGGTGAATGAGAAGCAAAGTCATGTCTTACCTGGTGGCAGGCAAGAGAGCTTGTGCAGGGGAACTCCCCATCAGATTGGTTGCAACCTCTGTTTCTGAGTTCAAGTGATTCTTGTGTTTCAGCCTCCTGAGTAGCTGGGATCATGGGTGTGTGCTACTGTGCCCAGCCAATTTTTGTATTTTTAGCAGAGATGGGGTTTCACCATGTTGGCCAGGCTGGTCTTGAACTCCTGACCTCAATTGATCTGCTCTCCTCAGCCTCCCAAAGTGCTGAGATTACAGGCGTGAACCGCTGAGGCTGGGCAGGAACCATCTGAGAGGGAACCGTCAGATCTTGTGAGACTTATTCACTACCATGAGAACAATATGGGGGAAACCACCCCCCATGATTCAGTAACCTCCACCTGGCCTCACCCATGACACGTGAAGTTATTACAATTCAGGGTGATTTGGGTGGGGACACAGCTAAACCATATCACCCTGCTTTTTTCTCTTTCTGTGTGTGCAGCATGACAGGGTCCTGCCTGTCTTGTAACAGCCCAGGGGGTTCACTTTGCCTGCTGCCCAGACAGAGCCAATTTATCAAGGCGGGAATTGCAATGGAGAAAGAGTAATTCATGAAGAGCCAGCTGTGCAGGAGACTGGAGTTTTATTATTATTCAAACCACTCTCCCTGAGCATTCTAGGATCAGAGTTTTTAAAGACAATTTGGCGGGTAGGGCCTTGGGAATGGGGAGTGCTGATTGGTCAAGTTGGAGATGGAATCATAGCGGGGTTGAAGTCAAGTTTTCTTGTGTCTTCTGTTCCTGGGTGGGATCACAGAACTGGTTGAGGCAGATTACCAGTTTGGGTGGTGTCAGCTGATCCATCCAGTGCAGGGTCTGCAGAATATCTCAAGCACTGACCTAAGGTTTTACAGTGGTGATGTTATACCCCAGGAACAATTTGGGAGAGGTTCAGACTCTTGCAGCCAGAAGCTGCCTGACCCCTAAACCACAATTTTTAATCTTGTAGCTAATTTGTTAGTCCTACAACGGCAGACCAGTTCCCAGGCAAGAAGGGAATCTTATGAAGAAAGGGCTATTAACAATTTTGTTTCAGAGTCAAACCATAATCTAAATTCCTTCCCAAGGTTAGTTCGGCCTACCACCCAAGGATGAACAAGGACAGTTTAAAGGTTAGAAGCAAGATGGAGTTGGTTAGGTTACAATTTTTACAAAGGTGGTTTCCCTCTCTTGGGATCTTTCCATGGTGTGTCTGTCCCCTGTGCTGGGGGCTCTCTCTAGGAATAAGGGGACCTCAGAGCCTAATGAACACCCTGTTACTTCTCTGCTCATTTTCCCTATTTTTAATATACATCATGAGCTCTGCTAATGTGTGTGTTTCTGTCCTTTCTACACAGTCCATAGTATTTGATAAGCATCATGCTAAATACTTTACATTATCTCATTTAATTCTGATTACAAGATTGATAGTTACATATATTATTCCCATTTTGCCAGTAGGGAAACCTGGTGCTCGGAAAACTTAAGCCATTTGCCCAAGGTCAGCTGCTGGAAGATGCAGAGCTAGAGGCTGAATTCAAATTGTTTGGTTCCTAAGCCACATGATTTTAACTCTAAGAGAGCCCTATTCACATCCTAAACATCACAGATGATTTTCCTGCAGATGGTGCTAAAGGGTCTTATTCAAACAGAATCAGT